CCCACTCCCCCTGCTTGTGTTCCCTCTCTTGCTGTCTGTCAAATAAATAAAAATCTTAAAAAAACGAACAAACAAAAAACAGTAAAGTAAAATTTGTTCTAAGGTCTGTAATAAGATAGAAGGATCTATGAGAGGGTAGAAAAGAACTTTCAACCTGTTGTTTTAGGGTCTGGGAATTTTTTAAAAAGTTTCCACTTGATGGGATGGACGCCTGACTGGCTCAGTCAGTAGAGCATGCAACTCTTGATCTTGGGGTGGTGATTTTCAACCCTCACACGGGGCAGAGTTTACTTTAAAAAAAAAAAGGGCACTATGGCTTCCTGCTTGCTCACCTTCTTAGACCCTTTAATCTGAAGTAGCAGCTGCTATGTTGTGAGGAGAGGCTCACGTGGCAAGAAACTGAAGCCTCATGACAACAGCCATGAGTATATCATCGTGGAGGCAGATCCTCCCTTCAAAGGACTAAAGCTCCAAATGGGAGACCCTGAGCCTGAACCATCCAACTAAGCCACCTTTGAATTCCTAACCTACAGAAACTATGAGATAATTGATTACTTGTCATTTTAAGCCACTAAGTTTTTTTGTTTGTTTAAGCTACTAGGTTTTGATTTGTTTCAGGGCAATGATCAATACAACACACAACAGGTATCACTGTACATTGATTAGGGTATGACAAAAAAAAGTTAAAACTCTGAAATGCCAGAAACAAGTGTTGGCAAGGATGTGGCGGTGGGGGGGACCCAAAAACCCTCATACCCTCATGTACTGTTGGTGGGAATGCAAACTAGTGCAGCCACTGTGGAAACAGTATGGAGGTTCGTCATAAATTAAAAAATAGGGGCTCCTAGGTGGCTCAGTCGGTTCAGAGTCTGCCTTCAGCTCAGGTCATGATCCCGGGGTCCTGGGATCAAGCCCCGAGTTGGGCTCCCAGCTCAGCGGGGAGTCTGCTTCTCCCTCTGCCTCTCCCCCCTGCTCCTGCTCTCTCACTCTCTCTCTGTCATTCTCTCGCTCTCTCAAATAAATAAATAAAATCTTTTTTAAAAAAATAAAAAAGGAAAGAAAATGTTTTTAGGACAATAGATCATGTCATTAGTAAATCAGTTGTATGGCATTTTGGAACACATATTTTCCACGTAAACAGGGAAAGAGAATTACATCTGGGGAAAAATTACAACTAGTTTGGAAATCAAAATTACCCCTAATAAAAATATTTCTGTGAAAAAACATGGTCTGCAATAAAAGTCACAAAGAAACAGCGGAATATGTTGACGCTCTGCATGTAGTCACTCATAAAATGCCAACAATTAGCCATTTGTGGGCTTATGTATATTCTCTCCACTGTCACAAAAAGTCTGCAAAATAGGTATTATCACCTTTTTCAAAATTTTTAAGTAACCTGTTCAATCCTAAAACTGGCAAAGCTAGAATTTAAAACTAGGTCCATCTGACTCCCAAACCCATACAATTTACAGTATGTCACATTTCTAGAAGTAAGCCAAACGTTTTTCACACCCTCAGAGAGCAGCTGAGGGAGTCTATTGTGCAGGTGCACAGAATATCCAGGTATTTTTAGCTCAAGAGTTTCTATTCTGCAATTTCAGAAGCTCCTCACAGAACTGCAGTGGGGTACTACTACCCTGAATCTGCATTCTAGTATTACTCTGATTTATATTTAATGGTCTAATAACCAAATACCTTATAGATTCCAGGAAATAATATTCTATAATAAAATAGTACCTACAGGGGCGCCTGGGTGGCTCAGTCATTAAGCGTCTGCCTTCAGCTCAGGTCATGACCCCAGGGT